AAGAATGTATTTGGCGTTAAAATCTCCTTTTCCCCCTCACTCAAGACCATGTCCTGCCAAGTGAGTCAAGTCTCTGACTTCATCCAAATGAAGTTTTGATTGAATAAAAGATCCTGAATTAAGAGCTGAGAATAAAATATGTTCTCTTATCATAGAACACAAACTTTATAAAATATCCCAGCCCCTGCTAGTGCTGTAAGGGTAAATTATTATTTGACTCCTGTATGGGCATATTTATTTAGGACACATAGCCTGGTGACTCAGGAAGTTATGTAAAAACTGACCCAGTTAATTTTAGATGCTATTGTTGGAAAAATATCAATGAAAATTAATCAAATAGTCACGAAGGAGCCACAGGGAAGGAGCAGGGAACACTGGTGGGTAGAATTTTGGCACCGATCATTGCAACAGTTTTAATGAGAGGAAAACACATTGTCAAGTAAATTAGAGAGTAATGACATGATTAAATGGTAATAATAGTTAAATACATGCTTGGAGGTCCAGGACAGAGACTGTGGAGGTTTTGTGTTTTTCATGTATTCCTCTCCAGGCTGCTCTTAGTATCCAGAGGAGCTCACCAGGGCTCTGCCTGTAATTTAGGGTTGAGTTGTAGCTTTTAAGACACAGAAGCCAAAAGAGCTGTTGGGGCCCTGCTGCTGAGGCTGAAAAAGCTGATGCTTTCTCCATAACACTACAGCTTCTGCAACCTTTTGGTTTGTCGATGTGTCCTTGTTCCTTCACCAGCCATCTCCAGTGAGCAAGGGCCAGCACCATGGCTTTGTTCAGCTTGCCATCACCCAAAAATGACTGTACAGGACACATCTGCTCTCCTTATGCACAGTGGGGAGAGGGAAGGGGGCTCTCTTCTGCTGAGGCAGGTTTAGTCCCCACTAATTTGGTGTTTGCACATTTGCTGGCAAGTAAATTGAGTTGCATACATGGCTGTTTATGCAAACAAGGAGTGCTGCGGTGCTGGCTGGGAGTTCACCCCATCCACATGGTTCCTTTCCCCATCTGCTGAGGAAAGGATGCAAAAAGAATAATGTTCACAAATTGTCTTCATTCTCAAATGCTTATTTTGCAAAATGAGAAGTTGTCCATATGAACTCTGACTGGTTAGCTTTAATTCAAGCACACGTAACACAACACACGGCTGTGTAAGGGGCCTGTCAGAGGGGAACTGGCCTGGATAAGAGGTGTCTTACCTGCCTTCTGCTTGCTACTATCCATTTCAGGTTATCACAGTAAGGATACCTCAAAAACAAAAAAAGAAAACTGAAATAACTCTGGATTCTCTCTTTACAGGATTTTTTTTTTTTTTTTTTTTTTTTTTTTTTGGTTTTCAGTAAGTCCAGGTAGAGTACCGCTGCTCCACTGACTTTGGTCAAATAAGGCTTCAGAAACCTCACCCATGGCATTCCTTGCTGCTTAGCAGAACTAAAAAGAGTGTGGGGGGAGCTTGTCTGTTACAAACAGAAAAAAACTCACAGGATCCTTACTGGGGCATCAGTTCACTAAAAGATGAATTACTTTCTTACATGGTAATTCAAGTGATCAGCACACTGTGTCCTTCAATAACAGCCTAACAGCTTGCTTATTAGTATAATAGAATAATAACTTTCTCTCTTTCCACCTTCCTACAAATTTCTTACAAAAGTCTGAGTATTTTATCTCCTCCAATAAAGTACTGCAGGAGGGGAAAAGGTATAATTAAAAATTACACTTTATGTTTTTTGTTTGAAATTTTGTATTTTTACTTCAAAGGTTGGCAAATAACAACTCATATACAGGTTATCTCTCCAATGCATAACATGGTTTATAATGGTTACAGTCTTAATCTAGTCTTCTCTGCTTGGATGTACATTTTGCACCCTGGAGTTTTTTTTGTGAAGAAAGTATAAAACACCTGATGAGTAGGAATATCAGAATTACTTAGTAGTGTTTTGTTTCTTGTGGAAATCAGAAGTTAATTATAGTATTTAATAGGATGATAGCAAATGAATATTAAATGCATTTGCAAGTTCTACCCAGGATACCCAAGTGTTGGATCTGTTGATGAAGCAAGTTGTTTCATCTGTTGATGAAACTTTTCATGTTTAAATTACAGAAATGATGAACATAATAGTTGGTGCAAAACCATTTTCACAATTTCCTGGCACACTGCATGAGCCTAATTTTAAAAAATACTGCACTTGTCTGAAGTGCAAAATCATTGAGCACATTTACAAGAAGATTTCAGCAGGTACAGTCGAAGGGCCAAGAACTGCTGCTGATTTCTAAATATTCATGTGAGTTGGAAGGCCCAGATTCAAAATACTTGTCTGACTCCTTTCTCACCTTAAGTTGGCCAGTGCTTGATCTCCTTATATCAGGGGAGATGAGGGATTCTTTTAAAGGTGCTTGTTACTATTTTCTTCTTGTTTTCATTAATTATTTGGCATGAACTACAGCCCATCTTAAAACTATTACTTCACTGGGATTCCTTTCTTTCCATTTTCTTACTTCTGCACTCCAGGGGATTTCCTTGAGGAAGCTAACATCTTTCCTATGTTGCTGCAGTGACACAGGATCCAAGTTTCTTTGTTAAGAATTTCCATAACTCATTCAGTCACTGGCGATGTTGACGAAAGTTATTTCTTCACTTTCTAGCAAGCCACCTTTACTTTCTCATGGCAGTTATGCTGAAGAAAAGCCCTATCATGTTAATTTGGGTTGAAACTGTTTATCCTGTTACCGTGATCTCTGTTTCGAAAGATGCTTTCTGAGTGGCTCATTGTATCCTGATTCAGTCAGAACTGACTATTGTAGCACTGATACTAGGAAAATCATCAGGAAACCAGGCAGACAAACTAATGTTGTAACAATGATGGTGGGTTATATTATGTATGGTTGTCTAAATGAAGAAAAGGAATAGCAATAGTCTTTACATTTATTGCCCTACAAACCTCAGAAGATTACGATGTGGAGATAGCAATATTTGCAGTAACACAAAATTCTGCAGTGTGCAGGAGACACATGGTAGAGCTTTTCCTTCACAGAATCTGTGTAACACAAAGGATAATATCTTAAAAGTGCTGTTGGATTCCTCACACACTCCAAGGGTAAATTATAGATGTGGGGAGTCTGTGCCTGTTCATTCTTCTTCATTTCCTGTAAATGTTCTATCTTTGACTCACTTTACACTGTTGGCACTCTCTTCTTATAGATCTAAAGAACTCGTGTAACATGCAGACAGAAATTATTTCTGTAGGTAAAATACAGCAGAAATTGGCTAAAGATCAAAGGATACCCTCATTCCACTCCTTCCTTCACTTTTATTTTCCTGTCTAAATCTGGTCTTTTGTGTGTGTTGGGGGGGGGACCTGTTTTGGTTTGTTTGGGTTTTTTTTTATTTGTTTGTAGTTTTTTGTTGTTGTTGTTGTTATTGTTTTGGGTTTTTTTGTTTTTTTTTCTTCAGGAGGGAAGGTTGCATTTAAATGGGAGTTTAGGTTTTATTTATTATTCAGCCCTTTATGTAACTGGAACCACGGTGTAGTTACTTTGATAGAATCAAAACTGCGGTATTTTTAGGGCACAAAAGATCGGGCAGTGGCTCAAGGAAACAGTATTTCACCTCAAATGTTTCAATGATCATCTATATATTAAGTGGCAAGCAGAGGATTTTTCTTGTGTTGGAGTTTTTATGTCTGTACAGCTAATCCAGATTTGATATAGTTAGAGTTCCTATTGTAAAAACAGCTGGACATGTGCTTAACAAAGTTGTCCATTTTGCATCCCAAGATGCAAACAGCTAAACATGAATTTGGAAAATTTCTCTGGAAAATATGCTTGTAATATTCACAGTTTTAATTTTGGTGGTCTTCTTCACTGGAACACAGTAAAAAGATGTTGATTTTCCTGTCTTTATAGAACTCCAGGGTTTAGCAGGTACCTTCTAATGCTTTATTTAAGGAAATTAAATGCACTGGAATGAGTAGTGATGACCATCAATGGAACAACTAGTACAGATCAAGTGGAAAAGTTAAGAACAAGATGTGATGTTTACTTAATGTCAATAGTTTCAAATCTTTATTTATCATTTCTTACTTGAAAGAGATTAAACAAAAACAATAGCTGTCCTAGGAAACTACCACAAAATTTTTTCCAAAAATCTTCACTCCAAATTGACATATTTCATGCAATTTCTCTTGCCATTAAAAATGTAATAAATTAACTTTACTTGAATCACAGATGAAAACTTTGTGGTAATGTCTGTGTAGTTACAGATCACCACAGAAAATGGAGTACCATAATTTTTGGCTATGGTGCAGAGTTTCTTAGAGTACTCTTGGTCAGGAGTGAGCGATGCTGGTAGAGATAGCTACAAAGTTCTAGACAGTTTCAACTTATTCCAAAACCCTGAATTAGAGTTGTTAGTGCTGCTTCTAAAAATACTTCAGGATGGAGCTAAGAGGTAACATATGTTTCCACTATCTCTCAGTCCATGATTTTATATAATTCACAAACCTCAAATAAAAAGTAATTTTTAAATAAAAAACCCTTCATCATCCCATTTGGAAAGCACAATTATTTTTAATTATAGCGCCATATTTTAAGTACAAACATTATTTGTCATATCAATGCCATAAGTGACCAGAGTTATGTCAAATCTCTCTAAATAATATGGCTATGTGTCCACTGATATGCAAATAGGAAGAGAATCCAAGGTGATAATGGTTAACAAAGTTAAGAAGAGAGACATCCTTGTGTTTCAACTAATCTCCAGCAATCAGGGATCAGCATGAGGGATATTTTCTCACATGTACCTCATAAAAAATTCCACATACTAACTCCAAATCATCTGGTGAGGGCCATGGTCAGAAACAGGATACTGGACTAAGTATATCCTATGCTCCTTGTACAGTATTCCAGAGCTTTCTACATTCTTGTGCACAGATGTGAAACATGCCTGCAATGTCTGTTCTGCTTTAATTGTTTGCACTCCTGTATTTGAATGCCAGGTTTTGGTCACCTCACCAAGCAATTGCTGAAGCTGGCGGACGGCCGTGTGGTGCTGGCGCTGGAGGGAGGACACGACCTTACTGCCATCTGTGATGCCTCTGAAGCCTGTATAAATGCCCTCCTAGGAAATGAGGTAAAACATAAATCGTAGCAGGTGGAGAGAATGAGCACCATTTTCTGAAGCTGCTAGCTTTGGTATTCTTTTAGTAGCAATGCTGTCAGTCCTTTTTTTGTTTGGTATAAAAAGCATGGAATTTGAATATGTCTTAGAAATGAACAGGCCTGGCTGCATAAATACCTCTAAATTAGATGATTATACAAATTCTTTAGTTTATACCTAAATTATTCCCAGTTCTAAGTAATATTTAAAACCTCCAAACTGCTTTTAATGATGTGCTGAATACCAGACTTGACATCACTGGTAGTCATTGGTGCACATATCATCTACTAGGAATGGACCTTTTAGGCATTGATCATGGGAAAAAAAAGCACCTTTTTCAATATTTTGACACTTCACTTCTGAAACATTAATAAAAATGTGTACAAGATTAAAAAAAATATGAATGAAGATTCAGGTTGATCTGTATGCAATTGAAATGGATTTTTCAAGAGTTATCAAACACTGTATATATTAACAACTTTTGAGAGGAGACTATAAGGCTAAGTAACTATGAGTATGTGCTATTTCTGTATACAAATGCAAGATAAGGATTCCTATTAGTGAAAATATTTCTACTGTCCATTAAAAAGTATCTTTTATCCTATAAGTACAGTGAGAAGGAAAAAAAAAATGCTGAAGGTGCAGCCAAAATAATTTATGAAGGGACAAAAGCCTTTACCATAAATTGTGAATTTTGCAAGATCTTGTTATAAAATGGAGTGTTCTACTTTGTTTTCCCCTCAGGGGAAGTCTTAATAGCTACATAATCTCTCCAATCAGATGTTTTAGTGCCAAATTGCAGGCTAGTCTGCCAGTTCCCTTCCACTTCAAGGTTTCCTACCTATGTGAATAAGGTGAAATAACGTGTCTTCTGATGGATGTTGGGTAGAAGAATTTTCTAAGTGTTGTTTTAAACCTTTGCTTTTCATCCTTATGACACATCAACAATGCTTAGTATTTTTTTTACATTATACATACAATGAATAAACTGTTAGCTTTTTCAAAAATATTATCAGAAATGTTAAACAGACACCTTGACAAAATCCATAAGGAAAGTTGTCCAGTATGGTGATATATGCTACTAAAAAAGCTGTTTGGCTCAGTGTTAGTTCTTTTATTTAGGTACTAAAATATGAATTATGTAACCCAGCTTGAGGCATTTGAAAACCTTAGTAATGCAACATTGCCTTCCCAGTCAGCTGCCATTCCAGGGCACTCTCATTGATATTCTGTTGTCATCTTCCCTGTGATAGTAACTTACAACACCAATGGCTTTTCATAGCATTTCTAAACCTGTTCCCTGAAGTTTTCACCCTTATGGGACTAATGTGAATGGTTCTATGCTGATGGTGTGATGTATCCTCCCCTGTGTAGGTGCCTGGGTCCTTCTATCCAGTTATGACCATTTGGTGGTGCTACCCATTTATGAAAACTGCCTTATTTTGTTTTACCACTGTATCAAACACAATTACTATTTCTGCTATCACTGAATGAGAATGAATACAAAAATCCACATGCAGTCATTTTTAATTTTAGGTTAAATAATTAAGTTTGTAAAAGAACATAGTCCTTAAAAACTTGAAACATCTCAGGCAATAACAATTTTTCTCATGTCCTTTTGCTAACAACATTGCCTTCTAGGATGTGCATCAAGTGGTTTGGGGCAGCAGAATTTCAGACAAAATATGCTATGGCTGTGAAGAAAAGTACTCTAGAGATGATCTCGCTACCAAGAGTACCACAAAAGCCCAACTTGTACTAAAAAGAATAAGTAAAGGTGCTGCCAAGGAACATACACTAATGAGGAGTCTGATACCTAGTTAGCAGTTAGAAATAGATTTATGGCAATGTGTACCACATGGCCCACAGCATATATGAACTTGCGCAGCAGACTCCAACCGTGTTCTGCCAAGGACAGATTTGTGGTTTTTTTTTCTTTAAACAACCAATTACTATAATTTAAGGATGCATTCTTCTCTGAATGCAATTCTTTACAGGTGATTAATAGGATAATTATAACTTATTATCTGCCATTCACTTTTACAAATAATGGTATGTGCTGCACCCCTAGTTTAAAAACATTGGCAAGATTAACTTCAGTTCTAAACACTACACATGTATTTGAACTCAAATTAGAAAGGTTGGGAAAGGCCTTTGTGAGGTACCCTGCAGTTTGTCAGATGTATTTATTCATGTGCTGAGGATTAGAATTCATAAACATTTTGCAGAGCTTTTTGAAAACTTTTTCTTTTCTCTTGTTGTTTTTGGCCAGGACTTTTCAATACAGAAATTCACTGCTTCATGTGTCCTATTACCAACAGAATAACACTTTAAAAAATTCTAAAACTAGCCAACTTACAACTTTCAACTTTCAGGGACTGCTGGTCTGATATGTTACCTAAGAGGTAGCATTAAATTTACAAGTGCAAAATGCCTTCTTTTCTAAGTTTCTCTCTGAGAACCAAGGAAAACAGCTTGACATCCAAAATAGATATATTTTTATTTATACATGGCTTATAGCTTAGTGATTTGTTAAGATAACTTCTCACTCCTCTCTTAGAAAAAAGTGAGTGAAAACACTAGGAAAATAGTACTCTATCAAAATTGTCTTTAAATAATTTGAGCATGGAAGGACTGGTGTAAGTAATAGAGAATTTTGAGGAGATCCACACCCTTTCTGACAGCAACTGGAAAGAAGGCAAGAAACTCTATGGTATCTGAAATGGCTCAGTTTGGTTTTGTTTGTGAATACCTTCTTAAATAATAAACAAACTAAAAAGGAAATTACAGAATTAAGGATAAACTTCATAAAGATCAGTTTTTGCTTAGAAAGTTTACATGTAAAAGTACTTTAAAAACATTTTGATATCTTAGGTTTTTTTCTCCATGCTTCTGTTTACAAGCAGAAAGTTTCCATGTCACTTTGAGAAAAATCCATTTGACCATTTGCAGACCTAATTAGAAGCACTGTAGGTTATCTCCTTGGAAGGAAATCTTCCTAAGAGGTGAGAAGAGATTAAGCAGCTGGGTTCCCTTGAAATCCAAAATGTAAACATGGAAGGTGAAAAGGCAAGATGGCCATCAGTTGCCTTAAAATATCCCTGAATTTTCTCAACATGATTTGGGAACTGGTCCCTTAAAAGAGCATCTGTCAAAACAAAGGAGAAGATGGATTCAGATAATTCCAAAAGAATCATTGCTTTTAAGCCTTTCTGAGATTATGATATGCATGCTAAAAATTAAATTCTTTCACTTATTGTGATACTCTTTAAAATATTCTAGTTTTTCACACATGTTTATATAGATTTAAATCTCATTTTTAAAGTGTATATAGATATACATATTACTTAATTTAAGAAAGCCATTGAATATTAAGACTTATATTTTATTCCAAGCGGTCTGTGCAAATTGAATGTTGAGATTCTCCCCCAAAATTTTAATTGTGGAGTATGAAAATTCCACCTATTTTGCCCATCTTAGCTTTGGTGCTATAAAGAGCTCTGCTATGACTTTTGGTCCCTCATAGTGGTGAGTAATGTTGCTTTAGACATGTTAGGGTGCGTGTTCTGCTTTCTTCCCTCCACATTATTTTTGAAGAGGCACTACTTGGATTTAAGAAATCCTTGGGCATTGGCTTTCCTTGAGTCTTGTATGCTAAAGCCTACATTTTATTTCCAACATAACTGAACTCATATGGGGGTTCTTCTGCAACCAGAAAGAGTAGGGAAGTATTCTTTCAAGCAGGAAACTGTTTGAATCAAAACCTAAGGATTTAGCTTTTCCTTCATCCCATCCCTTTTAAAGCAGCCAGGTGTGATATCTCCACAGGACACAGAAGTCAGTCTAACATCATAGTCCCTCTGATCTGCCTACAGGTTTGGGCAGTGTCTCTTAGCTCCCGGTGGCACAGCAGTTTTCTGTGGTCTGTAACAAGTGATAATTAGTCACAGATGGGGTCGTGCTCTTCTTTGCACAGAGGAAGCAGAGAAGTGCAGTCCACAGCGGCTCTGCCCAGCGGGACCCTGCTACAAAGGCACAGAGAGGATGCACGTCTGTTCTCATTGACTCTGGCGGCCAAGGCTGAATTTGGCCCCAAGTGTGAAAACATTTTTAAGTGACTAAATTTAACATCTTCTAGTAAATATTCTTCTGACTTAAATTTCAGTCTGAAGCAGAATTTCACAAAACATTGTGATTGGTTGGCTCCCAAGTGTGCTTGAAAACTTACACCGGACAATTTTCTTGCAGAGTGTGAAGTATGTGCTTCTTTCTTGCAATCTGTTGAACTGGCATTTAGGAGGGGATGGTAATTTAAGTGGAAAGCTTGAACTCTGCAGCTTTCCTGCTAATGATGAAAAGTTGGCATTTTCTCCATTGTGGAATTCAGTGTCAATCTGGGGCTGCTTGCCAGCCAGGCAGTGAGCTCTGCCAAGAGGGCATTAAAAAAGGTTATTTACCAGAACAGGTAAGCATTTCTCTCTCCAAAATGAAAATATTCATAGAAGTGAATATGGCCTTGGATCAATTTTAAATTGCATGGTAAACTTGCTCTCAATCTCACATCCTCATTGTTAATCTGACTCTAATGCTAGAAAAAAATTAACACAGAGTCTAAAACACCTGTTAGCTGCTGCTTGCATAAACCCAGAGTGTAGAAATAGAGAGCTGGATGGGATAAGAAGCAGGAGCAATGTGTGTGCCAGAGGTCAGCGTGGTGACATCAAAGTTCCCAAGGTGAGCAGTGCTTCTCAGGAAGTGGTTTGGCCAAGGAAGGAGAGAATATTCTGATGCCAAAGTTACATAATTCCAAGGTATTGCTTGGTTTTCAGGGACTGACAGGTGCTAATGACCCTAATTACCCTTTGTGTCTTTGAGCTTATTCCCTGATGAAATCTGATTTGTTTATTTACTGCATTGTAACCCTTGATCACAAAAATACCTGCCTGAAGTTCTTATATGTAAACAGAGAGTGCAGAAGCTCTGAGAAAATTGCTAATATGAGAACGTATAAGATCTTTGAACTCGCTCTTCTGTAATCATAGGCAACATTAAGAGCCACAAAGCTCAGTCTTTATGCTGATAGGTTTTTACATATGTAACCAAGAAAGGGTGGTTGTGATTCTTCCCTCTGCAGCCTTAGCATCCCTGAGGAGCCTGCCTGCCTCCTCCCCTTCCTCTGCTTCTGGCAGGCTCTCCTTACTCCTTACCTTCTGCTAACACTTGCCTCACTTGTCAGTAATCTGTAACTGCACTCTGCAACATTCTTCAGTCAAGCCAGGCTTGATACTTTAAAGCATGACAGTGCTAAAGACAACACAGATATTTCTAGAATTTTCAGCTCAATACAGACTGCTGTAGTTTCAGATTCTTACCACGTTCCCAAGGATCAATTCAGATCCCTTTCTGGGCACATGAAATTTCCATCATTAATTCCTTTTTCAAACATTTGTTGATATGCCTCTGGCAAATTTTGGCATACCAAGTGATTTTTTGCCCATTTACATTGTTTTTCCTATTTTGAGAAAGATTAGTGGACTCAGTTTCTACATTAATCTTCTGCTTTGGACACAAAAGCTCGATTCAGCCATGGAAAAGCTTTGAAAATGTGACCCTTTGTGTCTGGTCCAAACTGCCTCTCCAGTGGTTTGGTTATTTCTGCAGACTTGAGCTGTTCTTCTCTGAAAGATTTCTTTCCTGGTGGTGTATTTCCAGTGCTCTTTTCAGCTTCTTTTCTGTTAGCCTCCTTTTTAATAGTCTTCATGATCTGAATGCCAGTAAGTGTAGGAGGGAAGGTGATGGTGCCATATATGCCAGGTGTAGAGTAATTTCTTTTGTTCAGTTGGGTCTAACTGCTGATATTTTCCAGGGACACCTCTGTGTCTATACAGTTGTATGCAGCCAGTGGATAACTGCCAAAAGAATCCTCCTTTTGAATGCAGACAGTCTCATTTCAAAGGGTATAGAAATAGCTGCCATAACCCACTGACTTTATTTCTGCAGTGATTTTGTAATGGAACATCATTTTGGCCTATGCAGAATGTATGATGCGATGAACTTACTTGTGGAGCCTGATAAAATTTCCCTGATATGAAAGAGGGTCCAAAGTCTGTTGGGCTGTACTTAAGGATGAGGAGACAGAAAGGCTTAGGAGCCTGTCTCAACCAAGCTTGTAATACAAAATGAAAGTTTTGTGAAAAAAAAAAGTTAAGGAAATGATTCAACATGCCTATTATACTTCCATCACCTACAAAACTGTTAGTAGTGCTAACAGACAGAGTAATGATTGGGATAGGTGCTGGATGTTTTACCCTTTTTCTTCTTTTAGGGATTCATAGGCTTATTCTGATTTCTAAAAACACACCTGCCATTTATTCATCTGATATGTCTAGATATTCAAATGCAGCCTACTTGTTTTAAGAAAAATTCTATACTGATAAATAAAGAGGTGGTTTTGATATATTAGGGAAAATCAAACCCTTTGGGTTTTGGCTCTTGCAAAAATCCAGCCTTAAGGAGGGCAACAAAATATCCACCTTTTAATAGAAAATCTCCTCTAACTGTCTCTACATCAGTTGTTCCCATCTTAATAATTAGTACAAAGCATTTGCATGTAATTAGTACAAAAGGTCTACCTAAAGAATCTTCTACTCAAGGGGCAAAGCAAGACACAGCTCTCACATATTGCAGTCTGGCAATTCCATACCTTTTACTGTTATTCCTACTGCTACGGCCTGGAGCTATTTTGTTCTGTTTCAGGGAAGTGAATTGGTCATCAAAGTCTTAGGAATTCGGAAATTGACAAAAAAGAACCTTAAACTATTTTTTGCCCCATTATAACCAAAGAGAACTTCAGGGTTTTGTATTCTTCCTGGCCAAATGATAGATTACTTTAAACAGAAAATGACTAGTGATAAAGCAAATGCTTTTTATCTGCGTAAATCAAGATATGGATTATTAAGGTTATTATATGGATTATTGTTCTAAAACCTGTAAAGCTTGATCTGTTGGTTGGCATTTTCATAAATACGCAGTTTCCCCCCAGGTACTTGAAAGAGTTTCCCCCCAGTTACCTGAAAGAGTAAATAAACAAATAGAGCCACCTATGAAGATGATAAAGTAGATGTGGTTCAAGGATTGCAGAAGTACCTGAAATATTATTTGTATTGTAATTGCCGTCTTTGTGCTAATCCACGATACATACTAGAGAGGAGCAATCTTTCTTTGCCCTTTTCCCTCTCTGTTAACCAAGTAGCGCTGGGACATGGTCAGGTCCTACCAGCACTTCTCTGCATACTTGATCACTGAGCAGAATGGACTGATTTATGCTTTGTGAAAACAAAACATAGTGCTATTGTTTCTAGCCAGAAGAAAATCTTCCAGCTGCAATCCCATATGGGCTTCTAAGGAAATAATGACATGAACAGACCTATTCATTTTAGTTACCAAGACTCCAAAGGACTGGTGATATTTGCAATGTCTTTATTGCTGACAGGCATTCACTGCTGATTGTAGTGGCAGGATCCCAGAAGTTTTGGGATTTGTAGCTGAGCTTGCTTAAAATAGCACCACTGAGGGAGTATCCACACTGCAGTTACTTCCCACTGTGTGTGCTTGGATGAAAGTTGATTTTATCTATCTGGTGAGTAGCCATGCAGCAGTAGCAACCTAGAGGACAGTATATGATGGCTACTGAACTATTAACTTTGCAAAGGAAGCTCCTTGGGTGGGCTTCACTTGACCTAGTTTAAAATAGACCCAGGCACACTTAAGAAAGGAGTTTTGTCTGCAGTACAGATGTCTCCTGTCAACAGTGGTTGAACTTCCTTAGCTTTAGAGAGGAGAGATTGGTATTGATATTGCTGGTTTTTGTCCACCTTGGCACAGTTGCTACTCCTCAGGACGCAAGCCTGCACTCCCATCAATGGCCATTTAGGTGGGGAAGCAGAAGAGTTTCATGACTCATAGCATAGTTCTAGGAGAATATAGTTATTACAGTGCAAGGAGAAGCATTTAGCCCAAACAAGCTTTTACTTTATTCCTAGGAGAAAATGTGTGGAGGGTGGACAAAAAAGCAGATGTGGGTGACATTCAAAATACAATTTATTTTTTATATTTATTCACTGCAGGACAAAAATAACTATGCAGTAGCTGAACACTTCTTTCTGCTAGTGCAGTCCTACTCAAAGAATATACAATTAAAACTAGGAAATTAAAATGCAGCCTATTCTGTAAAAAACTCGGAAATTTACTTCTAATCTCCATGGCCATTTTTTTATTTACTGCTTTATTTGAAATTAATGTTAAGCTAGTAAAAGCAGCTGTGTTTTATGGTTTTCCCATATAAACCTTAAAATGTGAAAGATGGTTAGATGAAATAACACCAGAAAAATAAAGATATTAGAGTGCACACTTTGGTTCCAGTGTGGCTTCAACAAGGTTTTGTTTGGAGTGCCCAGCTGCATATACAGACGCAGTGGAATTTGGTTTGTGAGGAACCTACAAAAATTACACAAATAACTAGCATTTTTTAATGAATAATACACAGACATGCACCTGCTTCAGAGACTCCATAGATTAGTCTTGCAGCCAATAGAAAAGCCCCTTGGAATTCAATTACATGGCTGGAAAACAGAAAACAAAATCATGACTATACATTTAGAACTGATACCAGCAACATATTAACCAGTTCTTGGGCTGAGCTTTTCCTGAGGATTAGATCATTTCAGTTTGTTTTATGTCCCTGTGGCTTATTGAATATTTATATTATTCTATTCTATTCTTTCAGCTGGAGCCTCTCCCGGAAGATATTGTGCACCAAATCCCCAATATGAATGCAATAGCTTCTTTAAAAAAGACCACTGAAATTCAAAGTATGTTTCTCAGTTTGAGTTGGTGGGTTAGTGGGCTTGGGGTTATTTTTTATTATTAATTAATGTAATGAAATGAAATGAGTGGGAAAATGTTTTATGTATAAACTGACATGCTGTGTCTAATATTTATATACATATATATATGTATATGCTTTTATTTTTTTCTTCAGCATCTCTTTGTTTCTGGCACATACTTAGCCTTGAAAAAGTAACCCATTAAAATTATTTAAACATTTCTGATTCCTGAATATTCCCAAATCTTTTAATTCCAGAGCAGCTTGGATGAAATAGATGTTTGTCAGTGGGGGACAGGAACAGACAGGTAAATTAAAGCTCTAACAAATAGTTGTCAGATTCTGTTTTTGCAGCCCTTTAGAAGGTACTCACTTTGAGATTCACATGAGCTTGAGATAAAGCTAAAAAGCTCCAACTGGGCACTGATCTATGGAACAGTGCTAAAAAATACATTATTTTATTGTTTCTGAGACAGAGGATACATTATTTCTTCACTTATGGGCTTAGACCCCAACCCTTAACTACCCAGATGCTTTAGGGCATTTGCTTACTGAAGAACTTTATGCCATCAATTGCTTTAGTCCAACTGAGCACACATCCCTTAAATTCTCTAATCTTCTTGTCTCTGCCATTTTACTGAGCCAGTGGGAGCTTCCTGACTTCTACTGTTTGCTGGCTCCTTTAGAATAACAAATGAATAACAAATGTTTTCCTTCATTTGAGATGAACCACAAGTGGTTGGGATTCATCTACGTAAAATAAATGCAGTTTTTAAAAGGAACACCATGCCCAATTCACTGTTCATGCAGTATTTATCCATCTGATTTTAGTTGCAAGGTGACAAAGAAAATATATTGTAAATATATAATTCATCATGCATATCCAGTAGACACCTAGATATGGAAAAGCTCTAATTAAACAGCTATATATAATATGTTCCAATAAGTCCTTCGTGCTGAGTGGTATGTCCCTGGGTAGCTCATGAGTTAAAATTCCCTGCTAATAATCTGTTAATAATCTGGAAGGGGTCAGCAGGTTAAGGAGATTCATGTACTGCACAAGATAGAACAGATTTGCAAATGATAATAAGGGCAGAATGCTACACGCAGACCAGAGACACAAGGAAAAGAGATGCAATTCTGTTTGAAATAAAACATGTATGTAATGGAAAATGGATCTGAAACCACAAAAAGGGTGAATTGAGAAACAGACAAACAGAAGAGTAGGAATACACACAAATGATGGCTGTTGAGAGAGAAGGTGTGGATTTAGGAAGAAATATACAGTGTAAATCTGAGAACATAGTCCAGAGCTCTGCAGAATGACTCAATTTTAACACAATTACGTTTCAGCTGAACTGGTACAGTCATGCAGTCCAGTGGACTCTTCTGAAACCTTAGTCAGCCTGCTCTGGGTTTAGATTTACTTAAATACAGCATTCTGCCTTTTCTTGCAACTACCTAAAAAGTTATCTTTACCTCATTTTGTCTGGAGAGAGACCAAGTATTAGAAAGGAATATGCTTGGATGACAGAAAGGAGCCCTGAGGAAGTTCAGTGTAGCTTTGTGATGCATATTTAGATCTAAGAGTAGCAAGTAGCTGTTCAATATTTTGAACAGGTTCAATATTTTGAACAGGCTGGAGAGTATTAGGCTGCTGAGTAGCACCTCAAGAGGTACTGAGAAAGCTTGGTTTGTTTGAATCATGGCATCGCCTTTGGATATTGGGTTTGGATTTCTGTGATCCAACTTTCATAATGAATATTAGCAACCTTTTATACCAAATAAGCTCCTCCTGTGTGTGGTTGTTTTTCTGTGTGTGTGTGTGTGTTTTTTTTTTTTTTTTGCAAAACCTTGAAGCTACAGTACTTAGAAACTAAGAGACAACTTTTTTTCTAACTAGAATAGAATTTCTATTAACGTTCTGTGTTGACAGTGATCCAAAGCTCCTTTGAAAATGTAACAAATTTGGAATTAGTAATTCCCACACCCAAGTAATAGGCTAGTTCTAAACAATCCTTTCCAGTAGCAGAATACCCTAAGAATTGTTTTTTCAAGCAAGCCAAGGTATGTCCTGTCCAAATCTTTGAAAGGCAATTACAAATGCCTATAGGAGTGACAGAAACATTCCCTCTTATTATTTCCTGGTAATAGTCAGTGCTCATACAAATCTTTGAGGGAGGTTTAAGCACATTTTCATGCCGAAAGCCAAACCATACCTAGAAGACTGTTTTGGCTTTATTGGTTTTTCCTTGCAATTCATGATTGCTCAATTTTGTATGAATGAAACCAACAGTATGCTTCATTCTTTCTCTTGAGCTCCACCAAGTTCTTGTCAATGAGTGTAACGGCGCTCGTAGAATTTCACTTTCCAGTAGAGCACAGTAGAAATGGCATTTTCAGAGTGGTTTGATGCTAATACTTTTTGACTTCTTCTAATTGTCAATCCACAGCATACCTACTAACAAAGCTCCTTAGCAGCTGTGTGCTGTGATTGGCTCCCCATTCCATAACTCTTTGCCTGCAAATTTTTTGGCTGAACATGCATTCAAGGCCTGTAGGTTTTGTGTGCAGCAAATAAATGTTGTCCTGGATAAAAAGAAGCTTGCAAAACTCTTCTGGTTACCCAAGGTATTTGTAAAATACATTTTTCTGATTTTAGGGAAAAATCTATCCTTGCTTTTTTACAAGCATCACAGAGCTTTATTTTCATGAGGTACCTGCTGCTACCTGGATGCTATTTCTAATCGTAACTGCTTAAACGTTTTCCCCACAAACCACAAACACCCTGCCAGGTAGTTCCTGTCTCCAGGACCCTCCACTGCAGTATATGGGCTGCCACCTGCCTCCTGGCCTGACTCTGCTCCCTCTGTGGCTGAAGCCCCTCTCGTAACACAGCTCTCAATGTGGGGAAACAAAGAACACCAATCTTGGAGTGAAGGGCAGTTAAATGGGCGCAGAGAGCCCACTAAAATGCTTGAATTGGCCCTGGGTTTTAATGTTACAAGAAAGTCAGGATTCAGGGAGCAGCTGGTGTGCAAGCCTGTGTGTGAATGAATGAATGTGATGCAGCAATCCTCACTGATGCTGTTTTATTGTTGCTGCAGGAGAGCAACACAGTGGTAGCTGGGTACTAATATTTTATTTTATGAATAAAAGCCCTTGAAAACTCCAGCAGTGAACATGGGTTCATTTCTTTTATAGGCAAGAGGGGGTATTATTCCCATGCCAACAGATTTGATTTTCTTGCACATCTGTTTCTGCAACAAAAGCCCCACCCACTCTGTGAACATTTAGCTCATAAATTATAGGGTTTGAATTGGGTGTATATTGCAAAGACTGACTTTTGTACATAGGATCTGTGAGAACACTGTGGAATGCTCATATAACTTTTTTGTTTGTTTTTAGTGTATTTTTTAATGAATAGAGAATATGGTCTCTGAGCACAGTAATAATAGAGAATATTTTTGTCTTGTTTTTATAAAATTTGCCAGGCTCCAATCATTGAGCCTACTGTTATGTACATAACTTTTTAGCTCTGTCTTTCATGTTTTTGGAGCAAAGCCAACCTCCTAACACTTAATCTCAACTTTGTAGGATACTTAATACACTTTACATTTTATCCCCAGAAGGTCCCTGTTATTTAAAGATTCTGCTAACTACTCAAACGTGCACACTATTAGAGTTCAAAGAAACACTCCAGCCATGCTCACTTGTTGTTCTTGAAGATTGACTTGGGCTTTCATCTTGCAATGATGTTTTTGAATAAAGACATTTTTAGGCTTTATTGACAGCTGCTTTCTCACTGGAGGGAAAAGTTCATCCTTCCAAAAGCCTGAAACTGTGTTGAGAGCTGTGTTACCAAAGAGGGAGTTTTCAGCAGCCTTTCTTCAGCACAGGCAGCACCACTGCTGGCCTGGCCTCCCAGCTGTCAAAGCCTCCAGCTACCCTCTGGATAAGCACCTCAGCTCAGCCTGCTACCCAGCTGCCAAAATCCTCCTTTTAGTCCTTGGAAAGGTCCCCTACTTGATCCCCTCTCTTTCACAGCTGTTGAAACCCTCTGTCTAATTCTCAGATAAGTACCCTGATCCAACCTCTGCAGCAGCTGCTGAAAGCTTCTTACTAAACACTGAGTAAGCTCTGGTCCAGAGCTCCCAGACTTCCCAAAGCTCCTAATCCCCAGGTGTCATCCACCTGGCAATTAGTGAGTGCTCAGTGTTTTACTGGACTGTTTAGAAATATGTATGTAAATTTGTACTTATTCGTGTGGTTTCTAATAATCAAACAGTTTTTTAATAGCCATGCTGCTATTTCTTAATAGCAGATCATTTTATATGTTTAGGATGAGTCACCTGCCATTATTTTTTGCATTGCTTGATGAGGTTCTTGTGTTGCCGGCAGAAATCTGAAAATACTCATGCTTTTAATCCACTGCTGTATTTTTACATAGCAGACCAGAAAGCTCTATCCCTTATGATACCTGGCAGCTTTCCAGCAACAGCCAGTTCATATAAGAAAGTTTTAACTAAATTATTGTTCTAGTATACGCCCTGAGGTTGGAGGAGAAAGAACATCCAGGACTAACAAACCTGATTGTTCTGGCAGCACCACTTCTGAGCTGGACTTCTTTCCTTTTCAAGACAGTGCTGTGTGAGCACTTTGTACATTTTTTTATTTTGCACAATGTACATTTTTTTACATTTTGCTGTCTCTGCATCAACTGTGTGCCATATCAGAACTTCTAGTTATTAACCCTGCTCTGAACTCCCATCACCTTGTGTAGATAAAGCCAATAGCCTTCCTGACAATCTGTGTTCATTAGTCTGTGTGTTACTCCTCCAGTTTATTACCTTCTGGGGAAGGGTGTGACACAGCTCTTGGAACGAAAGCACTTTCCAACTTGGCATTCTTAGGCTCAGAAATAGACCTCTTCACTGCAGTCTGAAATTTCAACTGTACTGCTTACACCACAGAGATTTTAAACTATAATCACTCGGTGTTGAACTAAGTGATTACTGTTCTTGTACCACCATGCTAGCTAAAATTCCCATAAATTATTATGTGTGTTTTCCTTAGGCAAGTACTGGAAGTCAGTGGAGCCATACTCTGTGCCAGTGGATTGTGCTCTGGCTGAGTCTCAGAAGCAAGAGAGGGAGGAGACAGAAACAGTATCAGCTATGGCCTCTCTTTCAGTGGATGTTGAGCAGTGTATTCCTCAGGAAGGCAGCAGGTAAGTGCATGAAATTATTACAGACAACAAGGCTTTCGCTCCAGCCAAGTAAAACGAAGAAGAAAGGAGGACTAAGGGTTGTTTCAAAATTACCTGTTAATTGAGATACCTGGAATTTTTCATGCCTGGATTTCAGTTCTCTCACTTAGCCACTGAAAGCAGAGATATTAGCATTTTTTAGGGTTTGGTGTCTCTATTTCTGTACTGAAATTCATAATTATTACAAGAACCTTCTTTTCTTCTCATGTCTACTTCTTGCTACTTCATAAAAACTGCAGTATCTATATGAAGTAAATAGACATGGTCAAGTGTAATCAACCATATTCTTCTCATTAGAAGCTTTTAAAATGTCTTTTAATTTTCTAGGAAGGGGTTCAACAAACAGTCAGATATATTTAGTAACGATGGACTTAAATCACTATTAAGTGATATTAGACAGGCATTAGAAGTTACTTCCCTGGAAGAAATGTGAACAGTGCCAGTATAAAACTTAAAGCTATCCTGATCAGGATTAGGGCCAGCATTTTCTATGTACTAAGATCAAGGTAGACCAGCAAAGAATGAGAGTGCTGGTTTTTCCAGCTTTTCATCTGCTTTTTACATTAATGAAAATTTCTTTCAACTTGCAAATTAAGAAAATGATGCAGTAAATGCTATTGTGTGTTTTGCCAATTACACGTAAAAAACCCACAGTAGCCACTGAATATTGTGTCATCTATAATCAGAAAAGCCACTGGAGAAGTTTTTGGAGTTTCCTTTTTTTTTTTTTTTGTTTTGTTTTGTTTTGTTTTGTTTTGTTTTGTTTTGTTTTGTTTTGTTTTGTTTTGTTTTGTTTTAAGGACAAATACTTCTGGTCTTCACCAGTAGAGAAAGACACAAAATGTAGTGGAACTACTTGCATTCCATCTTACACAGAAAAGAGGAGAAGGGGGAGGAATGATGAAAAAAGCCTTATAAGGAGACTCATCAGCTCATCAGGCTGTGGAACAACAGTAGAGAAAGGAGGGAGCTGTGGTAGGGACAGCAGTGGTGGGAGTGGAGCCAGAAAGATCCATGGCTCCCACATTGTGACTGCTTCTTAGTTGCTTCAGTTCTTTCCTCCTGTGTTGTGTCTTTTAATCAGAACTGAACTGATAGGCACCCAGGGGAACAGTGCAATGCTCAAAGCTGTGGATGTGTTTGGCAATGAACATCCTTCACAACAGTGGCAACACTCATCTGTCAAAGAATTGAGGCATGGCTCAAAGGGACACACAGGGAGTGGAGCTAGCTAATAAAGTTCACAGTATTTTCATAATAACCTTTCCAATTGTAATTATATTTAATATGCCATGGCTATTCTTGTGCTAGGATTATTGCAGACAACTTCATAAAAGCTTAGAGAAGAATACATGATGAACACAAGATGTATTTTAGATTTGTGACTGTGGTAAGCAGTGCTCAACTAAGGAATAATGTAGTTTTTCATATAAGTTTCTGACAGTTACAAGACACTTCAGCTAGCTAGGGACAGAAAAAAATCCCACTTGTGTGTGCATAGCTCTGAAATATAAATAATTTTAGTTAAAGTACTGGAAATAATGCAGTGAAGCAAATTAAAGCTATAAATTGTCTGGAAAAGGGCATGGTTAATTTTGTGTATTTATACATTGCTGAGAATAACCAAAAATTTTATTTGTTATGTGCCTCCACTCAAAACTACAACTACCAAGAGCAACTACTACTCCTACATGATTTGAGCAAAATAACCCTTTGACTAACACTGCACTTAATTACTGTACTTATTATTTACCTACTGATAACCTGTGACAGTTTCCACCCATTCTGAAAACAGAATTTCAGGGCAGCTCTGAGACACATGGCAAAAAATGGATGTACTGAAATGTGCACAAGTGGAATTCATGTGGCTGCCAGATTCATTACACTTCATCAGTTCTGGACTCTTGTAGGGATGAATCCATTGTGATGAATTGTTTTGTGGAAAAATGACTTCGTTTGGAATATCTTCTGTGGTGCTGCAGATATTTGTCAGCCGCACAAAAAAAAACCTACGCATGCATGCATCCTGAAATCTCTTTCTATACGTTTAACCCTCAAAGAAGTCACATGAAGCCAGGTTGCCTTTAGAGAGTGACAGAACAAGGAAGGTGGTGTCCTACTGGACCAAAATTGATAGTTAGGTTTTCTGAGGCTTCTGAGCATCATTATCTTTGTTTTCTTCCTGATGAATGTAAGGAACAATATGGAATCAAAAGTGATCCCCCTGAAAGTTGGAATTTGAGAGTCCTCAGCTGTGAGGAAACCTGAGAGGACCTGCCTGCTCTTTGAGTGTGAATGAAAATCCATCATGGAATGTCCAGAGAGTGAGTCTGTGACATTGCATTCTTTGGGTTCTGTATAATTTACTTCATTTCACAGAAGCACACCATCCATTTCATAGGTACATACCAACACAAACAGCAGGAATGTAGAGACAATTCAGCTTTGCTTTTTCATGTTTTTTAATGTTTGCTGTAATAAAGGACCATGTATGCAATGCACCTATTCCAGACACTTCCTACGGCAAACAGAGGGCAGCAGGGATGTGGGGAGTCAAGTAGGGTCTCAAGCTCTGTTAGAAGGTATTCCTTTCCTCCTAGTGGTGTAGATGGGATCACCTTCTGAAGACCTGTTGCAAGCTTTTGCATTGAGTGTTCATTTGGGAAAGTTGCTTGTGACAGGTAGGGTGGGAGCAGAACAGGAAGTGCCGTGGTTGACAGGGCAGCCTCAAAGGTTCCTTCCTTACACCAGGAGTCAGTTTGCTTCCTCTTAATTCCCACCACGGTCAGCCAGGCTGATAGTTCTGGCCTGCAACTCTAAGCCTGTTTCACTGATTCGATGGCAGAGATCCTGTCAACTTCAGTTCTGGATGGTCAGGCCTCCAGATGAAGAGCAGCAGCAAGAGTCTCTTTGTGGGAAACTCTGGCCAGTTATGTTGGAGGATATATTGGTGTTGGAGTGAGATGACTCACTTTAAACTCAGATTTTGGGCAAAGCAGTTCTTTTCCTGGCCAACTCATATCTGACTCATTTACCACTGATGGATAAAATGCTCCTGGCTAAGGCCCATATAAAGTATTTTTATTTCTTTCTTCTCTCTTTCTTTCTTTTCTTCAAGTGACAGTGCCGATTATTTTTTTACTTGATTTTCTCTGGCAGGGCAAATGAAGAAAAACATGTAAAGCTGCTACGCTTTTGGTGTTTTATTTTACCAAAGCATAACTCTGCATCTTAAGGTCCAATTGAATCTCAATTATAGCCTTTGGAAGAGTAAAGATACAGAAAAAAGAGTTTGTGGATAGGATAGGAAACATGTATGGTACTGACGGGGATTTAAATAGAGATGCAATTAGAGGAAGAGGCATGCCCTATAAAACATTTCTAACTACCAGAACTTTTGTGTGTTGATAACTGTTTATTCCCTATGTGAGATACAGATTTAGCTGATTAGAATTTTGCTTTGGCCAGACATCTGTTTCAGAAATTGTGCTGTGGAATATTCAGTGCACTGCTGTCCTGATACCTTGGAGCTTCTGTATATTTCTTCTTAAAATGGAAAAAGAAAAGGGTGTGGAGGGAGATCTTTTGCACTTACTATTTTTACAGGAAGCAGTAAATCTTGAGAATGACATTTATCAGAATTTGACTTTATGGCTCTGGTTTAGCTGAGCATAGATTTTACTCAAATGGAAATGAAAACAAAGTATAATTTTTATTCTTAGTGTTACAGAGCTACCAGCTGCAGTTTCAGTCAAATTGCATTATATTACGTACTAGAGCAAATCTGATTGAATCGTGGGGTGCAGCTAGCTGGGCCACTTGCCATATTTAGGGCCACTTGCCATATTTGTCTATCAACTCATAAAGCTTCACTTGGCATTTCACTATTCGGATATCCACCTCAGCTGTCCTGAGTACACAGCACATACCTGGCCATACCCCACAGGTCTTACAATCCCCTCCAGGCTCAGGAGCTGCAGAACAGCTTTCCCAGGTCAGCCTACACACTTATCTTGCTCACCTTCTCGTCCTTTGATGGTGGGTTCATAAGGAAGAGAATCAGGAGTAGAAGAGGCTGAGAGCCAGCCTTGCCCTGGTGAGTTGATAGATCTTAACTGCTCTATCTGACCCATCCTGTGTAAAAGCCTAGAGGATACATACACAGGTGTAAACTTCTCAAAACCTTTTGGAAACAGCTTACACCTCTGGGTGAGCACTTGGGTAGTGAACCCCACAGCCTCATCAGGCATCACACTGCTTTTACTAATTAACCAATAAAATCACTGGGAAACCCCTAGGTCTTGTATTGTGAGAAAGAAAACCACCTTTTTTCTTACCCATAATCTTTGACCCATATCTGGTTTTAAAGGCTTGAGCTTCTCAATACTCTGTATTCCTGCTGGTATGGAAATAATTTCTTACCTTTGATGATTTTTGCTCCTCTCTGTGCTTTTTGTAGTTTCTTTGAGATGGAGTAAAAGCTGCATGCAGGACTCCAAGTCCTGGGCATGTTGTGAATTTACACAGTAGCTAATACTGGGGATGTTTTGTTTCTGTGGCTTTCTGCTCCTCTACCATTAACTTCAAGCTCTAGCTCTCGGTCATAGCCATCACTGTTAAAACAGTTAAAGGTGTCCTACCTCATTTTGTGTATTCTGTGTTTGTGTTGCTTGCCTTCTTCTCCATACAGAAATGCTGCTGTGGGCCTTAGAGCTGAGTAGTATTGGTGATTTGGTGTCATCAGCAAACATTATCACCTAAATCTACTCGTAGTCTGCCTAGTCTTTTTGAGATGCTCTGGAGAATTCCTCCATGGTAAAAATTCACCAATATTATTCTGTGTTACCTGCTTTTGATGCACTGTTAATCTGTGAAAGGACCTTCTTTCAACAACCAAGGTTCTTCTAAGCACTTGGATAAAATTGTTGGAAGACCTTCTTTGCAGGAGAAAATCACTTGATCCCCCTTCCCTAATTTCCTTCAGAAACTTTTAATAAATTTGAAAGGATTGCCATCTTTATAAGTGTTAAGACCTAACTCTTACCTAAATGACTGTTACCTAAATGCCTGCTAATTCCATCTCTGATTGTAGCTGCTTTCAATTTTGCCCTACAGGCTTACTGTACCTCGGGTGGTTTCCAAAAGGGGAATTGCTTTTCTTGCTTTCTCTACCTCTTGCTGAATTAAGCTGTAGAATATGCTCAATAACTATTTCTTTAACAACATCCTAATCATATTCCCCTGGAACTTAGCAACAGATATCATCTGCTCTTAGAAATTTGGCAATGTTTGGTGTATCAGTTTGTTCTAGCACTGATTCAGTTCAGGATAATTCATCTGCAAGTAATAAAATCTCACTGACACATCTCTAGTGAACCCAGATATAAATAGTTCATTTTACTTTTGTGGTCTACCTTCCTTGATGCTCCTTTTATGCTTTGATCATTTCCTCTGATGTATTTTGAAAGATCTTTTTATTATTAGCTTTTATGCCTTTAATATATTGCTTTTCAGACTTTCCTTTAGTTTGCTTCATTGAGGATTTACATTTAACTTGCCAGAGTTTATATTTTATTTAATTTGCCTTTTTCGGACATTACTTCCTCTTTTGAGAGTATATATGTAGTTACCTTATTCTACTCTTAAAACTAGGATATTTTTACTTTTAGTTCCTTTCTCTTTGATCCATACTAAGTCCATTTTTACTAGGATATACACTTACTCAGGATGTCTTATATGATGTCTTCAGACACTCCCCAAATCACCTTCATGATATAGAAATGTATCTCTTTGCTACAGAGGATCTTTCCCCAGCTCTTTGCTACCAGAGGATCACTTTTCAATTACAACGATCTTCCCTGAGACAGCTGAGTTAAATTAGGAACAGATTATGGCATAAAATAGCCATACCATGCCAGAAAAATCTATCATTTGTTCAGTTTCTACCTTGGAAACATACCTTGAGTTTTTATTTTTTGTGTGTCTGATAATTTAGCTAAGAGGACTCTCTGTAATGCTCATTTAAAAAATAAGGTAAGAGAAACATTTTCTTTTTTGGGTGATGTACAGAGTTTATCTACATTCTTAAATACTACTTTTTAAAAAAAATTGTAGATGTCAATTACTTTTAATATTTTTATCATAAATAACTTTTATTCTTAATTGCCACAGAACAATATTTAAGATATCACATGTTTTGCCAAATTTTATCCATATGGTAGGATTTTTGACTCATCTATTTATTTTGCTTGAAGGCTTAAACAACATAATTTTATTTAGCATTAATTGCAAAGAGATTATTTAATTCTGCCATAATCAGAATTCTACATATAGAGAGCTAGAGATGAGCACTCTTTACAGCACACCAAAGAAAAGTGAATGCAGGAGGGCTCAGCTCCTAGGAACTTGCAGTTTAAATGAGCCACGGTGAAGCCTTAGAGAAAAATCACAGTTGTGGTTCTATAATCATTGCAATCTCAATTGGTGACTTTCTAAATTTGCTGACTGCATGGAATTGGTTGAGATCAGACCTGAGCTCACAGCTGCATCTCAAGGAACTGCTCCGAGCACACAATGTGGGATGGGGGTCCTGCCTGTTTTATGTTTTTATGCCAACTTCCTGTCAGCCACAGGAGAACTGACTGAACTGACGTAACTCACAGTGACAAAGCTGAAGTAACACAAATTTGGCCTGTCAGACTCTGCCCCCTCGATTTTTCTTTTGACAACTTTTGATTTTGTCAGAATGGGTATATATTGATTCTCTGCTCAGTGCTATGGGATTTACAGTGTTTTTCTCTCTGTCCTTTGGCCCCAAAACAATACTGGCTCTCACACAAAACTCTAGCCTGAGGCCTGAGCCGTTATCTCATAAAAATATATGTTTTTAATGATAAACCACAGAATAAGTCCGGTGACTTCTCTGACACTAATAAAATGAAGGTAAAACGTACACATAAGTCTTCAAAAGGAGATAGAAGAAGACTATGAGAGTACCCACACTGTGAGAAAACAGCTGGATTGCATGGTGTTATCTCCTTTCCTAAAAAGGACCTTGCATCTGGCACTTATATATAAAAATTATTTTTGGTGCTTATGCTCTGGCTGGTGAAGAATTTTGGCCTATTGTTGGAATATATTGGAATATATTAGAATATAGCACTGAAGATCAGCGAGGGCCACTCCTGCCCCTCAGAAGCACCTTTGTCAGTGAAAAATTTCCCTGTGAAAAAGTTCTAAGATCCTCAGTTTTACTTTGTCAGTCCCAGAAGTCAAACACATGTGAACAGACTGTTGCATGTACTGCTTCCCTAGGTTCTTATGAATAGTCCAAGCCCCTACTCTCCCTTCCAGAGGTTTTCCAGAGCTTCACTCCTTCCTGATCTGCCAATCACCACATGAAATCTATTGACATATTGTTTCCCATTTGCAGAACCTAAAAACCGAGCTGTCATATGCTTCCAAATTATCTTCTTTCCAGACAGACCCATAAAGTTCTGGATGTTTAACAAGGGCTTATTGACCCTCTGTGTTATGCCAGAGGACTTTCAGGGCTCCCACAAGTGGCTGGAGAAAGTGGAAGTGTGTGGTTGGCACAACAGCAACACACCCTATGAATTCCTCACCTGGTGTGTGATCTTTTAATTGCACCTGAGCACCTCAGAGCAGGCAGGGCTCCATCTCACCCTGGCTGCCACTGTCTGCTCTCTGCTGCAAGCCAGAACAAAGGAAAAGGGGGAAAAGAGGGAGTGCAAAGGGGCTTCCCCTCACTGCTCAGGAATGAGGGAGCTGCAGTGGTTACTGTACATAGGAAACATCCTCCACCATGTGGTGAGGAACGAAAGATTTGTGATTTATTAATCATCTTTTAGAGTTTATACCCTTTGGAAAGTGATTAGTCTGAAAAAGATTGTCTTTTTCACATGTCATTCAACTGACATATTTTTCAACATACTATCATTGATCATTCCAAAGCAGAAAGGAATAACCTGTATAAAATAATTTGAAGACATACTGCTGATTTTTTCATTGGGAAAGTCTTTAATAAATTCCAGATTAATTTAAAATTCTCTGGCTTCCTTGCTGAATAAATTAACAAAGCCCAAGCAAGCCCCCCTTATTTTTTTTTTCCGTGGGATCTCATGAATTTGTATTTTCTGAGGAATGTTTTACTGAAGCCAGTTATTATACTGGCTTAGAAGAATTAACTGGTAAACACCTAATTTATTAATTTACATTTACTTTTCTCCCCTGATTTCAAAATTGATTAAAGTTACTATTTTAAATAGTTCTTAAGGCTGAAAGACTGAGATGAAAAATTATTCTTCCCAAATTATTTGCCCTTCAATAGTGAAATCTCTCCAATATCTCAGAAGCTTCCCATTTTATAATTGCTATCATATTCCTCACGTGCAATAGATTGTCAGATACGAGGAATTGCAAGACTTGACATCAACTCATCATATATGTCTTCATAATTTTCTTATTGGTTCTCTTAGAGAGCTCATCTTTCCTAAGCTGATAATTTTCCAGAGGTTTCCATATGAAAGACAGAGATATAATCTGATTTGATATAATTATTAGATCCTTTTTCTTTGATAGCAATCTGCTGATCAGGTTCAGTTGCAAGCAGGCAGGCAATGTGTTTATGAAAACACAAAATCAAAAACTAAGGGACTGGAGAAAAACCTCAGAGGCAACACTACTTGGCTACTAGTAACAATTTTGCTTTAATGGTGTGCACTTGAAAAAAATAAATGCATGTTGTGCACTTGAAAAAAATAAATGCATGTATTTTTAGCTGCAAAAGCTTGTAAAATATAAGTATCACAGCTATTTTTTCATTAAATTATTTGATTCTGTTGACACAAAGCATGTACATTTCTGGACAAAATGTTATAAAATATTCTGACATATTTTAATATAAACAGGAACATTTTCGGTGATTGCTTGGATCTAAAATGTTTTTCCACTTGACATTTGTTTATACTTCCTAGGAAAGAAACTCTATTTATGGATAGCTGAATAACACAAATAAACATCTGAGAGAGCTGAAAAATCAGCTTTGATTATGCATGGAAATCTACAATGTCATTGTGTACTCTTGTGCCGTATTCTGATTGCCTGTTTATTTTTACAGAGCTGCTGGTGAGCCCATGGAAGAAGAGCCAGCCTTGTGAAGTGCCAAGTCCTCCCTGATATTTCCTGTGGGTGACATCATTGTGTATCCCCCAAAGCACCCTCAGACATGTCTTGTCTGCTTCTTGGGTGGCACAGATCAGATGGAACATAAACACTGGGCACAAAACTCAGAGTAGCAGCTTCACTTGTTCTTTGGATGGAGTTGAAAGAGCCTGAAAGATTCCTTAAATGTAACCGACAAAATTCTAGAGTTACAGTAAAACGGACTTGGGAGAAAGAGCCCAGAGCATGCTTTTTTAATGCTGTTTGACCCACTCACCAACACAAATTGTGAAATAGAGTATTGCAAAATCCTACATGATAGATTATAGATATGAGAAATGCAACAGCCAGCAACATACTCTGTGAACTCCGTGAATCACTTTCTGACACTTTTTACTGGATAATTTTTTTCATACCGTGTTAAATTGTTAATAGAATTTGTTTTCTTTGCTCTGTGTAATGAAGAAAAAAAGAAAAACCCACCCTTATTTTATGTGCCATTTTTTAACCTCCTGTAATGAATTCTTAGCTGAATAAGTGAAAAGCATTTAAATTATGATGAGGGATTTTAGCTAAAGGGAAAGCACTTCTTATTGTACTATAAATCCCCTGAAGTACTGTGCTTGGTGGTGCTTTATTTTCTCTTCCCTGTTCCTGGTCATCCCTCCCCATTTCATGTAATCTTTTCTATCATAAAAACACATTCATGATTCTCCAAAATGATCTTTTGCCTTTAAGAAAAAGTGCTGTACCCTCTGTAGTTGACAGTAGCGCTCACCATATGTGCAGCAGAGATCAAGTATGGATAGTTTTTCAAATGTGTTTTTGGTTTGTTCTGAAATGTTTCTGCGTTCTGACTCCAAAGCAGCGACCTTCAGTAACTGCGTGCAGCTCATTTGAAGCTCAGGTGTTTCTGTGGAGGCTGTGTGGGGGTGTTTTTTACAGGTCGTGTTGTGAATACGCACTGATTCTTTTATGTAGTCCTGCACCAAGAGAACTGATGTTGCTTAAGAAGCTTCAAAGGGTTTAGGCTTTATTTTAGATCCCCAAAGTGCAGCAAGATCTCCCTGCAATGTGACTTTAGCTGTTTAATTCCATGTTTGAGAACGTAACATAGAGTTGTGCCTTTAGCTGAAAATGAACGCTTAAACTGTTACACGTGTTGCCTTACTGTCAGAGAGAGAGAGAGATGGGGCATGTATGTAAGAGTACTTCAAATGAACAAAACTCTGCTACAGTAACTTTTATTTTGTTTACAACCTTCTCACCTAATGAACCCCAGGAGATACCTTGAAGTATTCAGCTCTCAGTATTTGATAGCTTGCTCGACGTTTAAAAGCAAGTGATGTTCGTTTTTTTTTATATTTGCCAAATTCAAAAAAGAAAAAAAAAAAAAGGATATATATTAAAGCCATAAGTGAAGACTGTCATGCTTTTTATTCTGAAATCTGAAAGGAACCTTAATTAAAACAAGATTTTGTGGAAGGCCATGATATGAAAGATATGGAACAATATGGTTTCAGTTATAGGCAGACTCAAACCTGTAAATCAAAGATGAAAGATTTCACTCAAATAGAATTATATAATTCTCTTTTGTTATGCAGTCAGACTATATCTTTCATGCATTTGGGTTTGTTTACGATTAGCATTTTCATTTTAAAGACTTTTATTACTTATACCAAAGCTCTCCACTACAAGTTAGAAATCTGAGGCATGCTTTGAAAAGGGAAATCTAAAAAAAGGGATGTCATTTCCTATAATGTGGAGTAAACTTTTATTCTGAAAGGTTTACTCTGAAATGAATGTATGCCCCTTAGAAAGGGAAATAAAATTCTGACCCTCAGAAAGTGAAATAAAATTCTATCCCCCATTTACAAGCCAAAACCATGCTCGTTTTAGTAATGCAAAAAGTCCCATCAGGCTAAATTAACTCCTGGTGTAAGCCACCTTGCCTGACTCTGGGCTGCTCTGAAGGGGTTGTTCACATGACTAAAGCAATCAGGAGTTCCTCTTGCATTTTCAGCAGACTTCTGATGGCAATCTTACTTGCCATTTACTGTGATTTTGTTATGGTCATCAAAGAACTTTCCCTTCAAGAAAACCAAGGGCTATAGCTGATGAGTTGGGTAATTTGTAGAGCTTTGCACATTTTGAAATCATGGCTGCAAAATTTTAATTGAGTGCAGAGTAACATCGTTTTAAAATTAACCCTAAAATCTGTTTGTGTCCTTAGCTTGCATGAACTTGTATATGAATTGCAACCTGAAATGTGAGTTACAAGTTTTTCCAAAGTATGTCTTCTGAGGTGTAAATCAGCTAAAGCTGTCTTTCTTAGCTGGAACTGCTTTTAAAATGCCAGAATAATTTGAATTAAACCACATTATAAACTCACACTTATACATTTGTACAGATGTAGTCCCAGGCAGATATCTAGACATGCTGCTGAAGTTAGGATCGTTTGGATAAACAAGTGTGGTAATAAACTGCACACAGATTGTGTCCAGAACTCTGTTCTGACTGAAGTCAACAGCAAAGTCCTCTTTGATTTCCATGGGAGATGGATCAGGCCCTGCTTTTCTTTTCCCCTTTAAGTCAAGAACGCCATTGCTTTTTGATTATGTCATTCCAAGGCATCTTACAGCCCTCTGGGAAATGATTGAGGCTTATGGTGAATATCAACACTTCCTTCAAAGCAGACCTGGGCTTTCTGAGAGGGCAGTTTCACTTGCTGCTGTTTTCTTCTCACAGTATTTTTTTATTACTGTCAATAGCTCCCCATGGACTGGAGTTAAAATATCTTCCAGCAATTTTAGTTATAGTTCTAGGGAAATATTCACATAGACACTCTTAAAAATGCCCAGTTTTAACTGGATTCAACAACAGATTGCAAGAATTTCATAAAGATGCATGAACTGTGTGTTTGAAGTGTAAAAATTCAGATTTTTGAGGAGACATCAAAGTCTCATGTCTCCCACAGACCTTTCCCACTAGGCTAGAGAGATTGACAACTCTGAAAATTCAGTCCCAGATATTTCAAGTTGGCTGCCAGATATCTATGTCTGAGCTTAGATTACATCTAAAATTGAGCTGAAATGCATAAACAAGTTGGGGTGGTTTCTGTGTGTGATTCCATGGGGAAGGTGAGGCTGAGGAGGCAGCAGGGAGCACGTGGAGCCAGGGTGACCCTCTGCCTTGTCCTGGTGGTATGAGGGCTGCAGGCAGGTAGGACATCCCACGGTACCTCCACCCCAGGCTGCCACTGCCATTTGTAGCAAATCTTTGCCTCATGGGGGAATCCTGAAGTAATTTGTGCTCTGCCCCTGCACCAGTCACCAACCACCAGAAAGAGATGCCTGAGCAACACCTTCCAGTAACATTGCTCCAGTTCATTTTCTTCTCTAGCATTAGGAACGAAGTATTAACCTCAGTTGAGCTTTCCTTTTATTACTATGCTTTTCTTGTATTTTTCTTGTATTCTTAGGCCCTTCAGTTCGTAGTACAAACTGAAACCTAAAAATAGACATGACTCAGGAGATCAAGAAAAGAATGATTTCTGTCCAGCTTAAGGCTCTTACCTGGGCTGGAGTAAGATCAGCAATGAACTGCAAATCTCAGAACTGCTGAAATCTTCATGAGTGTCTTGCACTTCATTTTTGGACTCTGTGGAGGAATTCTGCCTATGCTCATTTGGTTTTAATATAATTTGCAGCTTGATTATATTATCTCTTTTCAGGCAACATTTCTAGTGGGTAATCAATTGGTGGGAATTTTGCCAGTGTAAAGATGATAGAATTATTCCCCTTTTTTAACCTTCCTAATTTTTCCTTCAGTGCAAATGAAGTGACTAATTCCAAGTGAGTGAATCTGAAAAAAGTAAAATCATTAAGCTATCTTAAATAAATATCATAAAATAAATGGAAAATGTTCTGCAAATAAAGATGGCTATGCCTTTACTTTGCAAAAAAGTCAACAACATGCTGCAGGCTGAATATAAGTGGCAAAACAAATTCCTCTCTGGAATATGTGGTATTTCAGTTGGTGTCTTATCTAAGTGCAGCCTCTCTGAAAAGCTGAGAGTCTTAATCGGAGATGAAATATTAGAAAGGTTTTGCTGCAGCCAACACCAGAGGTCCTGCAGAGAACAAGAATGTAGAGACTGACTAATTTTTGTAGACAGACAGCAGGACACTTTAAGGGCAATGTGTCTGGGACAAAGAATTAGAGGGAACTTTTCCAAAGGCACTGATGGCTGTAAAACAGCTAATCCTGGTTAGCTTGCAGGGGCAAGGAGGTGCTCAGCAAGCACTTATTCTTTGGGAAATGCCACCCCTGTCCCACCAGCATGCCCAAACTCATGCAGATGTGAACCTGGCTTGGCTATTTTCTCTCCTAAGCAGCAGCAGCAGCAGCAGCCACCATGTGTGCTGATGTGTGTGCTGTGCATTTGCCCAAGAAGTTCTCTGCCACCAGCAGACACTTCATAACATGACTGATAGGGGAATTATTTTTTTCCTCAATAGTGGCCTTTCCAGAAGCATAGCAGTGCATGGTTGTTTTATTTTTAAAGGTCACAATAGAGCTTTGTGAACTACTATATATATATATATTTTTTTTTTGTTTGTTTGTTTTTTTTTTTTACAGACTCCATGTGGAAGTAAAACAGAATATGTACCTGGGGAGGGGGGGATGTGGTGTGTGGAACCTGCCACAGGAAAGGATCTCTCTTAAATCAAGTTTCTGCTACTTTCTTTTTATCCTGGATTTGAAGGAGTTTGGGTTCTAAATTATCATTTGAGATCTTTCTTTGTCATGTCACTTGCTTTGGTTTTGTACCTGTAATTGAATTCATTCTTGTAACACATAGAAAACCATTTGAAAAAAGTCTGGTTTCTGACAGATTCCCCTGCCCTTGGTGTGGGAATGAAAATGCTTATCTTTGTCACTTCTTGTAGCAATTAAATGCTTCATTTTTGTAACAGATCCAAACTGCAGCAGTATTTTAAGAGTACTATTTATCTGGCTGTCTGCTGACTGTTAAAAAAAGAAATTGTGAAACTTACATTCCTCTCTAACCTCAAAAGAAACCCATTTTGATTTTAACAATGTCATTTTTTCACTTGATCTGAAAGGGTTTTGTCCCCTGAGATCTTGTTACTAGTTCAGTTCTAATCACTAGTAAATCACACACTACAGAAAGTGAAGACCAAAAAGGATGGATGTTCCAGCAACTCTCAGTTGTCTCTTCTGCACAATCCTTCATCCTGCTCCAGTGCCATGCTCTGTGGTTAAGAATGTTAGCATAGATTACAGCAAAATATGAATTGTTCTGCACCATCAAAGATACTGCTCTTTGGATGTCAGTTAGCACTCTGTGAGTTGGGCTGTCATTTACAGGAGCTGTGATTTGTGACACAGACATGCTTCTGTGGGGATGGTCTAAAGACAAGTGCTGCATACAAGCAGTGGCACTGGGACTGTGTGGTCAGAAGGATTCTGTGCCAACATCTCTGCAAATTCCCCCTTTTTCTCCAATGCCTGCATGGCCAGGGGCACATGTGGAGTAGCAGAGCCATGGGATGTCCTGATTCAAAGACCACTTAAGTCCCTCCTCTAACAGGCTTTGGGTAATTGGGAGGCAGCTAGAGGGGGAACCCAAATTCTGCACTCAGACACACAGAAGTGTATAAAAATTCCAGGTAAAAGATCTGAGCTTGCCCTCACATAATTTGGTTCTGGTATGAAGTGCCAGTTCTGATCCTAGAAAAGTGTGTCTGAAAGAAAATTGACTCTGCTGGATCTATTCTACCGGCTTCCTGAGCGTGTAAACGTCATGTGTTAGGGGAACAGGTTCATACTCATGTCTCTTGCTGTTTAGATTACTGCTATTTTAAATTTCATGATTGGCTTAATATTCCAAGTTAGGATGCAGTAGGAAAGCATAAAGCAATACCTGGTGAAGTCATAACTGAGGCTTTCAAAGCAAGCTTACTGCCATGGGTTTTTACAAGACTGGTCTAGGGATACACAGCTGAAATGTCTATTTTTTTCGTAGGAAATTGATGTTGCTATCTGTTTCCATGATAAAAACCAGTCCTTTTGCTCAGAGTTCTGAAAGTTTATCTGTAATTTGTCTTTCTGGGCAGAGCAGATTCTAAGGGATAAAACATCAGTGGGACTGACCCAAAGGGCAACATTTTTAAAGGTCAATAGTAATATTTCCATAAGAGTAAAAGGAACCATTGTTATTATTCCTGATACATTTTTGTATCTGCAAGTATCCAATGAATAATGTTAAGTAATATTGTGCTCCAGAACTTTGTTGATTATAGATATATGAGCATTGGAATGGCGTGCAATAGTCTTCAACCAAGTTGTTAAAATCCCTTTTGTTTTGTGTTTTGTATAATTCTTTGGCTATAGTCTTGTCCTAGTGTTAATAAAAGCTATTTGAAGTAAGCTAGTTCAATACTCTGAGGAGTTTTTTTTTTTGCCTGTTTTATTTTTTAATCAGTGTGAAAAAGAAGTGGAGCTTTGAACATGCCACCCTGGTTGGATCATAGGATTCTGATTGTTAAAATATAAAGAGGGAAGCATGGTGAAGCTGGAGTGCATAAAAAAGGAACCACAAATGTTAATGTGAAAGTAATGTTACATAGCAGGCTAAAACACACACAAAGCAGAGCATTGCAGAGCTCCAGCTCTAACACCAAGCTCATATTCTATAGTTCCTTTGGCTCATTGTCCTGAGGCGTTGCAGAACACATAATTCTCCTCCCAGTGAAGCAATTTAAATAGTACATGCACTGTTTGGAA